TCAGCCCACCCTAATGTATATGTTACTTTTCTTACCAAACACTTTATTTTCATTTAATTACGTACATTTTTTTATAATACAGAAAAATGCAAATAATTTAAAAACTATAAGTGCTAGAACAAAACTATAACCAGATAAATACTGCAGGTAGACGGATGACTTGTATCCATCAATGAGAATAGAATAATAACCGATAACAGTAAAGTTTGGAGAGCTTGGGATAAAGTTATAACTAAATTTGCTAATCAGTTAATTATTGAGACACAAAGATTATAGACTGTATATTTTAACGATCTAATTAAAGTATTTATAACTGTGATGACCAGATATGCAGTATTAAGCTAAAGTTAAAGGACAGCATTACATTGTTTGTTCTGGTCATGGTTATTATTTATTTAGTTTTACTGCAGCTAAAAAAATACACTGAAATTATACCGGAAACGATCTTTGAGTATACTGAAATGAGAAACATTGGAACTCACATAACAGCAATTGGTAGAGATTCTACCAATATAAAAACTGGCTGGGAGGAAGAAGTAATGCGCTTAATGGAGTTGAAGTTAGCTCGAAAGTTAAACTGGATTGTCACAAAACACACCAATGAACTACCACTAAAGTACTTGATTATATTGTTAGATGTAGAATCTAAAAACGGTTAAAAAATGGACCAATTGAAAGCATACTTAATGCAGCAATTAATCTTGAAGTTAACTCTTTTTTACTGATGTTGAAATCGGTAAGCATTTTATTAACTCGGGTAATAATAATGCAAATGACCTTTTTACAGATCAGTATTATGGTTGTCAAACAAATTAAAGCTATACGCAGTAGTCATGCTCCTCAGCAATTAGGACTTCTTGAAATTGATCCTGTAAACATAGCCAGATGGCTAACAAGAGTCAATAGAATATGTAAAATTTAAGTCTCATCACGATTGGTAGTGCCTTGAATCTTCAAGATACTGCAGCCCAAAAACATTTGAAACTTGTAGAGCTTATTTTAGGAGTGTATTTTCCGATCTTGTTAATCATCAAAGGTAAGCATGTTCAGATAAAAAAGCCCAAACATGATTTTTACCAGCTTAAGTTGCTTCAACACCAGTCACTAGATATTCAGAGTATGATCATTCAAACTGTTAAGCAGACTACATGGTAAGTCTTCTCTGAATCAATTATTCAAACTATGCTTTATTTGAAGAGCATATAAGAAGTTTAAGTGTAAAAAAAATTCTTTAAATAAAAAAAGAAGTTGATAAAAATGTACAACTAGGAGATTTATCTGTTTAACCAAAAAGGACACCAGAAATCAACGCTAAAGCTATTTTTCTCAAAGATTTTATTCATTGGAATGAATGGGCTTTTAAACTACTATAGACTTGTTGCATGACAATTAGAGATATCAAAGAGTACTAAATAAACCAATGATAATACCGGATTGGTGTTATAAAACACAAGCTGTCAAAAGATGTATAAAAAAAGTCAGCCAAACATGTGAAAATATTTTCACAGTTAAGAGATGGTTAGATTAATAGACAAGAGTTATCATAGAAGTTGTCATCAAGTAATCTATCCAAACTAAACCTTATTGGCTTAAAAATTCTTAAGAAATAATCTTTATTGTAAGATTGACAACTTTTACAGTTTCAGCGGAGAGCAGAGGGGTGGGAAGGTAAAGTGGTTAAGCAAAACCTATTTTGCTTAACCAATTAGCGAAAGAAAACCTTTTTTCTCACTTAAAAAAGAGGACTTTTTTAAAATGTTTTTCAAGTTTTTAAAAAATGTAAAAACTTTTTTAGTTACAGCCTATCCCAATCCCCTCCCCTTTTGTACTTTTAATAAAATAGTGTCTCTGATTCCTGGTAGCTAAAACTTCTTTTTTTATTAACGGTATTAAAATTTTAAAGTTAAACCCCACCCTTTTTTTAATTATGCAAAGAAAAATTCATTTTTCAAAAAGCACTTTTCAAAGGCACCCTAATTTACAAGTTATTCGAGCGAAACTTTTTTTTGCTTGTTTGCATAAATAAGTTCTGAAATAGCAACTTAAAGTATGATAGATAAAAATGTCATCAGTCTTGCCATACGACAAAAAACCCCAGAACACTAGTGCATGTTACCTGTATCTAATGGATGAGTTCTTTATATATAAAACAGTTTTTACTTTAAAAAAACTACATCTTTAAAAAAGCTGCTATAAACCCTAAACTCTTAGACAAATATTCTTATAACTAAAAATAAAAAAATAATTCGCAGGACACTTGATGAATAAATTTTGAGATGTTTAAGAAGTTAATTACAAATCACAGCATGATAAACATGAAAGAAAAAATTAGTTTTTCAATCCAAAATCCTCCTTTCAAAAAAACTTTCTCCTCTCTCTTAAAGTAACTTCTTCTCCAGTTCTCCAAACCATTTTTTTAAAGTCCTTTATATAGTTATTATAAACAAATTAAGAGTGGTAGCAACAAAGTAAAAGTGGTAGCGACACAGTAGTAGCGGTAGCAGAACAGTAAAAGTGGTAATAACACAGTAGAAGTGGTGGCAACAGAGTAAGAATGGTGGCTTTATGTTTGTTGATTTTTTGATTGAAATTTAGCTGATTTTATTAAAGTTTATGTTAATATATAAAAACATCGGTCTGTATTCGATGTTCCTCAAACACTTTAGCAAGTCCAAATTAATGTTTATTGATTTTTAGAATAGCACTGTATACACTTACCTCAAGAACTGATGTCTTACGAAGACTTTTTTAAGGCACATCATCTAGTTAACACTATTTGAGAATTCGATAACATTTTGTATTTCTCGTGGATGGGCAAATGCTTATTATTTGAAACTTTTTTTGTCAATTTGAAAAATATCTACACTAGTAAATTAATAACCTATTGCGTTTTTTAAGTTTTAAATTTCTTAAAACTACACCATAACCCTTCTTTTTGCGAAAAGAACACATGTTGCTTAACTGAGTCTGAAAATTTGCTGCAATAATAAAGGATAGAACCACTCATTTTTTCATCATGTAAATGGTTTTATTATTTTTACACTTTAGTTTAATTTCTTAAGAACCAATTAATCAAATTTCTTTAAATTGCCAAAGAAATTAGCTAAATATACAGAGTTTTGAATAGCATTTCGAGGACCTAAGATGCTAAAAAATATAATATGATAAAATCATTAAACTCATTTCATTTTCAAGCAAAAATAAACACATTTTTAATTCTAAGCATTAATAACTCTAATGAACTTTGTTTTGATAGTTTTACTTAAAAGTAACACTTAAAGTAAAACTATCAAAACAAAATTCATCAGAGTACACTTTTCTTCTTTTAGTTATTTATGTATTAGTTTATATATTTTAAATGTTTGAGTATTTATATACACTATTAAATATTCTGACATTTTCCTTGAGTAATATTACCTTTGACGCATTCTTAGCACTAATGTTACCACTTTCTTGAGCATTTGAAAATTCATAAATAAAAAGTAATTGCGACTACAATTAGTGAGATCAACTTCAGTAATTTTTCTTTTTCTTAAAGTTTTATATGAAGATTTTTCAGAACCACAACCACCATGTAGGTTGTTGGATGCGTTTGACCCCCTTTTTAATAAATTCTCTTTGCTTCAAGCAGGTTTTATAATAAAAATTTAACAAAAATTTTATTGGTTATTCTAAACTGCCTTTTTTTTTCAAAATTTTAAAATTTTTACGGTACGGGCCTGTGTATATTAAGGGATACTTAAGCATGCATAGCGAGATAACAGCTTTTATTTATAGTAAACTATAAATAACTGTCTTACTTTAGAGAGATTTTTTCATAATGAAAAGTGTATTTTTAAATTTTGGTTTTAAATATTTTTTTTTTGTTTTAAACATATCCGGTTATATCACAGTTATTCAATGCACGCAGCGTCAGGGTCGGACTGGCATATAAGGGCCCGGGGAGATATAGATGCAGGGCCGCTTTATATATTAAAATTTCCTTATATTACATATCAGGGGAGGGGGGGTGAAACCACAACCTCCTCGTCAGCCCGACCGTGCGCAGCGGGTTGCATGCGCAGCGGGTTGCAAAGACCTTTTTTCTATTGTCGGAATTCTTTATTCTTCCAATTTTCTGCTCCCTTCTACTTAATTAATAATATTCGCGACTTTCTAGTTCTACCTCTGATTAGATTACGGTTATAAGCAGAAAAACTTTTACTTATAATACTAATGCGGCAACGACTAAAGACAGAACTTAATTTTAAAAATAAGTAAATTGTTATGGTATCTCTTTTTAATGTATTATTATTTATTTATTTTTTTGTTATTTAGGTGCCCCAAGAAGACCTAACGGTCTTGTCACAGAGCACCGCGGAAGTGCATTTAACCAGGAAGTTCACGCCTCCTTCCTTACCGTGACGCGAAAATATGTCCAGAGTTCATTTCGAACCTGAATCTCCTGCTTCTAAAACAAGTGCTCTAACCACTGCGCCACAGCTGCCAAAATTGAAGAAGAGCCCCTAAATTTCCAAATGGGCTCCCTAAAATTGCTGGGCCTTTCCTTAATTGTGGGGTCTGTCTAAAGTCTGTCAGGAGTTCTCTAAACAAGAGAAAGAAAATATTCTTTATACTATTAGTATCTAGTCCCAAACGGCATCTTTCTTATGTTTATTTACCAATCTTCTCTAAAAAGACTTATTAATATTGTTAAAGAAAGCACTAAACACAAATTATTTTGAATAGTTTGCGACACATATAAAACATATTCTAACTTTTACGATTAGATTTAATATCCCTTTTACATCACTTTTTCGGATATTTAAAAAGTTTGCATTTCTTTTTTGTTGCCTAATCTTGTGCTAATAATAAACAAAAGAAAGTATGTGATGCATAATCCGTAAAACAATTCAGGGTACTCAATTTATTTTGCAGTAAACTCAATTTATTTTGCAGTGAAAAAAATCTATTGTATGGCTAAGTAAAGTATTATCTAAATGATATTATGCTGTGTGAGTCATACGTTTCAAAGACTGACATACTCTTGCTGCTACATCACTAAGTTTGTTTCTACAACTTTTAGCCTATCAAATAATTATTGCTATCACTATGCATTAGTGATTGCAATAATGAAAATAATTATACGTATACCGAGGTTGAGCAATAGGAAAATCGCCATTGCAATTGCCTTATTAATAGCAGTTACGATATATTACAATGGCAACAAAGTGAATGATACATATGTTAATCAAAAATACCTAACTTTTAGTAACTATATAATGGAAAGAAACAAAACACTTGAAATGAAAAGTTCGATGGAAAATGGAAATCTACCAAGCATTTATAAATTAAATATTAATAGCGTAAACACAAATACAATTAAACAACAAAATCTTATTTCTCACGTCACTGTTGATACAATAGAAAAAGACCACAAGCTTGAATATACAGTTTTGATTTTAATTTCTTTGCATGTTTTACACAAAAGTAGACGATTCAGAATAAGAGAAACATGGGGGAATTCCAGCATGTGGACTACTAAGTACAAATACAAAATAATTTTTGTGACCGGTAATGTTGAGGACGATAGTATAATGACGGAAATAGTTCATGAAGCACAATTATGGAAAGATGTTATTTCTCTCGATATTTCAGAGGAATTTTACATGTTATCAAAAAAAGTGATTGTTGCACTTTCATGGGCAAAAGAGAACTTTAATTTTAAAGCGATTTTAAAAGGTGACGACGATACTTTTATAAATCTTGACAACGTGATAACCTTTATAAACGAAAACAAAATATCAGAAGGTTATTTTGGATCAATTTTAAAAGGACAAATAGTTAATCGAGATGGAAAATATATAATAACACAAGATGAACATAAAAAAAATATTTTTGACCCTTATTGTTCTGGAGGAGGATATATATTAACAAATTCTAGTGTTCAAAAAATCATACCGATGCTTAATTTTGAAACAAATATTACTAATGATGACGCTTATGTTGGAAAAATAGCATTAACGCTTGGTAAGCATTAAAAATTATATAATTTTTACATTATTATTATTTCCAAAATTCATAAATTACACTTTTTTATTGTTAAATTATACATCATATATTATTTTTACTATTTGTCTATTTTAGTATTTGACTAGTACTAAAATATTTTTTTATTTTTTTTTTTATTTTCATTGATATATATTTTTCGTCATATTTATATCAATTATTTTTGAAAGTTGTTATTTTTATAGTTAAGTTTTAACCGGGTTTTAAAAATCAATGAAGCAACAAGAAATACAATCTTCATAAAATATTTACAAATATTAAGAAATATTTTTAGTTAAAAATTTTACGCTTTCATTATTTTATTTTTGTTTGCATATTTTTTCCTTCTAATAATATTAGTAATATAAATACGATTTAACTTAAATTTTTTTTTTTTTTTTTTTATTTGTCATTAAAAAAAAAGAATACAATGCCGTGTTATATAAATAAAATCATACGTATTTAAATCTTCTAATGAAAATAACATCATCGGTGATAATGACACCGACTCTAATTATTTTAATCACAAAATGCTAGAAAGTCAATACTACTCAGTTTCTGAATCTTCGCAATATCTAGGACAAACTAAAAACACTTTTTCAATTTTAAATATCAATATTCGAAGTTTAAATAAAAACTTTGAAAATTTAAAAATTTTATTGGATGAAATTAAGCACGATTTTAAAATTATATGTTTGACGGAAACTTGGCGTAAATGCGGTGAAACAAATTATGAATTTGAACTAGTTAATTACACATCAATTCACCAACCGCGTGAAGTTAATGCGGGTGGGGGCGTTAGTATTTTTATCCATAATTCAGTTAATTACATTTTACGTAACGATCTCTGCGTCAATGAAACAGATTATGAATCATTGTGCGTCGAATTAGTAAATAATAAATAAATAAAAAAATATTGTTATAAATACTACATATAGACCACCATCTGGAAACTTAAAAAAATTTAAAACTCATCTTAAAACATTTCTAAACAAAATTACAAATTCGAGAAAACATATTTATTTGGTGGGGGATTTTAACATTAACCTGATCAACTATGCTTCAAATAATAATACTAAGAATTTTATAAATACTCTTCTACAATATAACTTTATCCCAACAATAAACAAATCAACAAGAATAACAAATAGGTCTTCTACTCTACTTGATAACATCATAACTAACAACTTTCATAATAACCCTCTTTACACAGGTATAATCCAGACCGATTTATCGGATCATTTTCCTACATTCTTAGGTACAAATAACATTTTAATTAACAATATTTCCACAAAATCCATAATAATTCGGCGACAGATCAATGAAAACTCCTTAAAACAATTTAAAAATTGTTTAAAAAATTGTGTTGATTGGAATCTAGTACTGCAATCAAATGAGGCTAACAATGCATATGACTTGTTTCTTAATCAATTTTGCAAACAATATGAAATAGCGTTTCCAGAAATAAAAAAAGTCATAAATACCAAGTCACTTCAAGCTCCCTGGATGTCTAAAGGCTTACTAAAATCTTCAAAAAAGAAAGAAAAATTATATATAAAATATCTTAAAAAAAAATCTTATAAAAATGAAATAACTTACAAAAATTATAAAAATATATTTGAAAAAAACCAAAAAATACTAAAAATTTTATACTCACTATTTTATGACCAATTATTAAAGAAAACCAACGGAAACACTAAAAAAATATGGAATTTAATTAAGGATTTAATTGGAAAAAATAATTATAACAAAAGCACTCTGCCAAAAAATCTTTCAATTAATGGAGAATTAGTTTATGAAAAATCAATTATAGCTGAAGAACTAAATAACTACTTTGTAAATATTGGCCCGAATTTGGCTGCTAAAATTTCTACTAATTCCATTCCATTTGATTCATACTTAAAAACTTATGATAAACTTATAGATGAAACTGATTTAAAACTGAGTGAGTTGAGAACTGAATTTAGCAGTCTCAAAAGTAAAAAAAGTGAAGGTTTTGATAAAATTAGTGTTGATGTTGTCAAATCAGTATTTGAAGTCATTGAACCTTCTTTATTTCACATTTTCAATCTCTCATTAAAGTCAGGTATTGTTCCTAATAAATTAAAAATTGCCCGTATAACACCAATTTTTAAATCTGGAGATAAGTCAAATATTTTAAATTACAGGCCTATATCAATCTTACCTTGTTTTTCAAAATTGCTAGAGAGAATAATGTATAACAGACTTTATAATCATCTAACTGAGAACGACATGTTGTATTGTAAACAATTTGGTTTTAAAAAAAAAAATTCCACTGAACACGCAGTAGTTGAACTTTCCAATCAAATATCTAATGCCTTAGATAATGACTGTTTTACATTAGGGGTTTTCATTGATCTGTCAAAAGCTTTTGATACCGTAAATCACTATATACTAATAAAAAAACTTGAAAACTACGGTGTAAAAAATAAAAACTTACTTTGGTTTAAAGATTATCTGACTAACAGAAAGCAATTTTTATACTATAATCAAAATAATACAATTCCACACTCCATAACTTGCGGGGTTCCTCAGGGTTCTATTTTAGGCCCACTTTTATTTATATTGTACATAAACGACTTATACCTATCAACAAATCTTTTAGACCTAATTTTGTTTGCTGATGATTCAAATCTTTTTTGTTCTCACGGAGATATTAAATCACTTTTTAAAATAGTTAACGAACAGTTATCTATTGTTAGTGCATGGTTCGTAAGTAATAAACTTTCACTAAATGCGGAAAAAACAAAATATATGCTTTTCCATAAAGTAAATAAATCAGAAAATATTCCTCTTAAATTACCAGATCTTAATATTAATAAAACTTAAAAGGGAATCTTACATAAACTTTTTAGGAGTAAAATTGGATGAAAATTTAAATTGGTGTTCACATATAAATAGCATTGAAAAAATAATCTCAAAAAATATTGCAATGATGTTTAGGGTTAAACCCTTTCTAAATATATCATCCCTGAAAAAATTATATTTCGCCTTTATTCACAGTTATTTGTCTCATTGTAATGTTGTGTGGGCTAGTACTAGCCATACAAAACTAAAGAAACTCTACAATAAACAAAAACATGCATGTAGAATAGTATTTGGAGCCGACAGAAATGTTCCATGCGAACCACTTCTAAGTGTGCTCGGTGCTTTAAATGTTATAAACTCAATTTACACCAAGTTTTATTGTTTATGTTTAAAACAAAAAAGGAATTGTCTCCTAAAATATTTCAATCTTATTTTAATAAAATTAACCATAGGTACTCAACAAAGTTTTCAGAAAACAATTTTGTTGTTCCAAAACATAAATTAAAATTAACTTCCTATTCAATTAAATACCGCGGACCTTATCTGCGGAAGAAATTTCCAGATATTGTTAACAAAAAGCAGACTACATTAGAGCAATTTAAGGATGAATCAAAACGATTATTATTGTTCATGGATCTCAATAAATCCGACTTTAAATGTTTATTTTAAAGTAAACACAATAAAAAAAAATAAAAAAAAAACAGATTCAATTATATCAATGATATATTATAATATGAATAAGAAAAGAAAGAAAAAGGAAAAAAAGAAAAAAAAAAAAAAAAAAAAAGAATAAGAAATCCAAGTGATGATGTCACAAGTGATGATGTCATAAGTGATGATGTTACATATTCATTTAGTGTTAATTATGAGATTTTATTTTTTCAATTTCTTTTATATTCAGGAATTTTTTTTTTTTTTTTTTTTTTTTTTTTTTTATATTAACTTATTTCTTAAACATTTTAGCAACTGTTAAGCATCTTAACGCTTCTTAATTAATTCTTATTTTTTATTTTTTTTATTATATTAGTTATTTTCTATTTCATTTCTAATTGTTTCTTTTATATATATATTTGTATGTTACGGTTATGTAGAATTTTTAATGGGGCTCGGCGATAAGGCGAAATGTGCCTTCTTCTTGCTCCAGCCATCAATTTATATAAATGTATATGCAATGTAAACATTTTTTAACGGCGAAATAAATTACACTAAAAAAAAAAAAAAAAAAAAAATCTACATGACCGGGGCTAAAAGAAGACAATATTAGCGTTATCACTACACCCCGACGTGCTTTCATCAGCAATCGTGTATAACCATTAAAATATAAACATAAAACATAAAATTACTTTGTACCATAAAAAAATTGTATACAAATATATGCAAATATGTTAAGATCAGTTACTAATCTATAATCAAAAGAAAATCGTAAAAAAAAAAAAAAAAAGCAATCACACTTAAAAAACTTAAAAACTGAAGATAAGTTTAAAAAAATTTAAATTGGTTAGACTAGTTAATAAGATAGTTGTTAAAAAAAAAGATAAAAGAATCTTAAAAAGAATTTAATTCATTAACATCGTTAAGAAGTTTTTGTTTGAGTTTTTGTTTAAATAGAGAAAGTGAAGAACAATTTTTCAGCTGGTTATCTAATAAAGTGTTCCATAATTTAGGACCTCTGATGGCAATAGAAAATTTAGTTTGCTCGTAATTGTAATTTGAAAATCTTGTAGGGTACACGTGATTAATTTTAACTACATAATAAATTAACTCCGATAATTAAAAATTATCGGAGTTAATTTATTATGTAGTTTGTACATAAATATAAGAATTTGATAAACGTTTAATTGAAGAACATTGAGTATGTGATGATTTTTGAATAGTCCTTTAGAATGTGCGAATCGACCTGCATTTGAAATAATCCTGACAGCGTGTTTTTGTCTACTAAGCAATTTTTTAACTTTACTTACATTAGAGCTGCACCATGCAATATTTGCAAAGTTTATATAACAATGTATGTGGGAGAAATATAAGATTTTTAAGCAGTTTTGGTTTAAGATTTGCTTAGCTTTGTATATTATTTAATACCAATATTTTTCGAAATTTTATTTTCAATCGTTCTTATGTGTTCTCTCCATGTCATGTTTTCGTCAAGTATCACTCCTAAAAACCTTAATGATGACTATATTTAATAATTATTTTAGAGTTACCAATGTAAAGATCAGGAAGTTTTAATGGAATATTTTCTTTATCGTGAAGTCTATGAAAAAAAGTATACTTAGTTTTATTTAAATTTAAGGACAATTTGTTTGCCTTAAACCATTCCGCTAGATTTAAAAATTCCTTGCTTACTATTTTAAATAAGAGGTTGATATCTCCATTAGAATAAAATAAATTTGTATCATCTGCAAATAAAACTGAGTTTAAAATGTTTGAAAACTTATGGAAATTGTTTACATAAATAAAAAATAAAAAAGGACCCAGAATTGAGCCTTGGGGAACACCGCAAATAATAGTCAAGTATTCAGTTTTTATTTCTTCGTGTGCTATGTATTGTTTTCTATTGTTTAGATAACTTTTGAGCCATTCTAAATATGTACTTTTAATACCATAACTTTCGAGTTTTTTTATATAAATGCTATGGTCTACTGTATCAAAGGCTTTGCTAAGATCTATAAAAACTCCTAGGGTAAACTTACTTTCATCAAATGCTTTAAATATATCGTGAACAATATTAATAATGGCATGGTCAGTTGAATACCCTGGTTGAAAATCCAAATTGTTTGTTATATAGAATATTGTTTATATTTAAAAAAGTCAAAATTCGGTTATACATAATTCACTCTAAGATTTTGGGGAAGCAAGGAAGAATTGAAATTGGTCTGTAATTTTCAGTATTAAATATGTCTCCTGACTTGAAAATAGGTATGACCCTCGCAATTTTTAGTTTCTCCGGATAAATGCCTAGTTTTAAAGAGAGATTAAAAATATGTAAAAGAGGGATTGTTAAGTACTTTATTGATTTTTTAATTACATTACTTTTAATATTATTAAACCCCACACTTTTGTTTAGTTTTAAAAAATATACTGAATCTAAGAGTTCCTTTTCAGTAGTTTCATAATTATCCATCTTAGAGGACTTATTAGGAGTAAGATATGACTCAAAGTTTACTTCAGTAGTTTCTATTTTCGACGCTAGTGGAACCAACACTGACAAAATATTGATTAAGTGTTTCAGCAATTAAAGATTTATTTGTAACAGTTTTAATTTTTATTGTTTAGTTTTATAGGATGACTATTTCCGTCATTTCGTTTTGTGCCAATTACTTCCTTAATTGTGTCTGAATTTTTTTTTGGATCATTTTTATGTTTTATTATATGCTCAGTATAGTAATATTTCTTTGACTTTTTGATGACCATCTCAAAAATACGTTTATAATTTTTGTAATTAGTTTCATTATTGAAAGTTTTTTTTAGAAACTTATTATAAAGTCGTTGCTTTTTTTTCGACGACTTTATAATTCCAGGCGTTATCCATGGATTTAACAATGTTTTTTTTTCACACATTTTGTAACTACAGGAAAAGCCGAATTGTAAAGTTGTTGTAATTTATCAATAAACTTATTGTATGCCTATTCTGCGTGTTCAAAATGAAATTTTAAGATATATAAAAGTGAAAGTGTATGAGAACAAGCAGAGGATTAAATTTTAATAAAAAAAGAGAATTAGAGATAAGCAAAAATTAAGTATTTTTATTATTATTTAGAGAAAATGACTTATTTAGGGATAATAACATAATTGAAAGTTATGGAATGAATACTTTGTTTCATATTTGTTATCTATAACAGAAAAGATCTTGAAAATACCTGGCAGTAACTTTTTAATTCAAAGATGAATAAAAGCGTACTATAAATATTTAACTCATAAACGTTTAGTACAAAACTCAAGTGATGGTAGATTTAATATTTTTAGCCTTTTGCAGTATAGAAGCAGTGGTAGTGGGGGTAGCAGCTCCTTACCTCGATAGCAGGTAAAGAAGTTTTAAAATTCATTGTTAAGCGTTAAAGTTAATACCGTAAAAAGAGGTGACTTTGATAATGAAGGTGTCTTTCAAGTTTCGCCTGTTTGTTACAAAAATATCGACCTTAATGTAGAAGATGCCTCAAGATGGAAGTTTATTTTGTTGCTTTGCGTTGAACAGATCCGATCGAGGCCATATATGTTTTTAAATAAGAGATTTTTTATTTTTTAATTTTTCTTTGTGTTCCTCAAGAAATTTTTAGATTAAAAAAAATTTGCAGATTCTAAAATTAATTATTATAAAATCATGTCTTTATTAAAAAATCAACTTTAAATTAAAAAAAACTCCGACTGAGAAATGTTGATTAGTTGATTTTACGTCAAAATATTGCTATTTCAAGTAATTTTTATATTGATTCGTCTTTTTATTTATACTATCAAAATTTATTATTGATATTATCGTATTAATCGATATTTTTCTTTATAGGAATAGTACCAACCAATTCAAAAGGATTTTATATGCGGAACACGTGGTGTGAGTACGTAAAAAACTTCAAAGTTTCGCATCCTATAGATGATCTAGATTGCAATAGTTTCCTTTTAAAAAAATCGAGAATTGATAATGGACAACTTCGATATGATCCTCAATTGGAGAAACAGAAGTATTATAAAAATGTTGCTTTACTGAAATATTTTGCAGATTAAAAAATATATATTACCACACCCATTATTTTGTGAAAAAAATTAATAGAGTATAAAGACTTTGAGGTTTTTTAAAATGATATTTATATTGATAATGTAAACGGTAAAAGATTACTGCATCTGTCGAACAACATCTGTGGAGTAGTCCAAGATCATCTGTACACTTTTGTGCATGATCAACTGTATTTTTTTTTCACTCAAACAATATCTGCCCAATAATATCTAGTAACTCAATGACCTCTAACAACATCTTTAGGAAGATGTAACTATATCTGGGAAACTTTCTTTAAGTCCAATAACATCTGGAAAAACATCTTCTAAATGTAGTTACATCCGAAAAAAAATCATATTTGTAACTAGATCTGGTTAAAATAATAACTAGATCTGGTTATAATAAACTATTATTAAACAATTTTTTCTTAATGTAATTTCATCTGAAAAAAATCCTGTTGTCAAAAGATGTAACTACAACGACAAAATCTCCAGATGTAGTTGCACAGTCTTTGTTATACTTACATAATTGTGAAGATTTAACTACATCTGTGATATTCATATACTTTTTGCATAGATATTATTAGAAATCAATAAAATTTCAGATGTTGTAGACAGATAGAGCGCTCGCTTTATAAGTGATAAATTCTGAGTTTAATCCCCACCACGTCCCTAGCAGTTTGCTTCTCCGCACAGTAGCCTTGTTTGTCAATGTTTGTGTTTCAGAGTTATAGAGTTAAGAGAGGGTTGTCACCATAATTAAGTAGCCTTGGGGAGGTGAACTAAAATTAAAGATGTTGTTATGCCACATATGGGCTGAAATTTGGTCAATAAGCTTTAATCTAGAAAAATGCAGTTATATGATTATTAACAAGCATCGTCGCACACAACAATTAAATTTAATGATCCCTGTTTCCAACTAACAATGACTGACAAAACTGGCTTTTCTCACATTCTTAAAGAGACCATCTCTGAACGCCATCTCTGGATCGAATCATCATCTCCTGCTCCTGCACTTGCGCAACCTGGACAAGCCGTTGGTCTTCGGGGTTTTCCCCATTGCATTCGGGCACCAAGAATTATTAAATGTGTAGCTCGCAAAACTTTTTTATGCAACCGTGTCGCAGTTGATTGGAATGCGCTACCTACAGATATCATTACCTTCAATAGAAATGTACCACATTAATACTTTCAAAAAAAAGCTTGACATATTTTTTGGCTCACTTCCGAAAAAAAATTGTATAATTTGTACTTCTGTTTCTCGTTTGGGAATGTTATTAACTCAATGTGCAGATAATTTTATTTCTTTTTTATTTTTGTTTGGTAACCCTTTATACTGGATCTACCATAGCAGGGATTGGTTGCCTTCCCAGCTTCACGGATTTTTCCGTTGTAGAATAAATTATAAAAAAAAAAATACTTTTATGCATAGGAGGATAACTAATTAAAACAAAGAAAAACGAACAAATGTTCAGAATAAACACAGATTTATTTTAAGAAGAAAAAGTTTATACACAATCGTAGTTAACAGTAATTTTATCGTTAAAGTATACTTAAAACAAAACAGGACATAAAAGTAAACAAAAATCTCCATTAAATACAAATCTTTAAGTTACTTTAACACAAATATACATAGAGATATCACTATTAAAAAATAAATAAATATAAAATGATAGGAGGTATTAGATAAAGAAAAAACATTGCTTTTGTTTAATTATAATTTATGTAGTGGTGGTAATAAACTTCTCTTTAGAATCGCGTTTATTATTACCGGCGTTTCGAGGAGGCTTAGCACCAATACCTAGTTTATCCCGACAGATAAACATCATCGCCATTTATGCTTTACCCAGCGATTTACGCCTGCTCCATACTGCAGTAAAAAAGTACTTCACTACAAACATCCAAAACCCTAACTACACCCAAATTTGGAAAGTACTGATATTTTTGAAGAAATATTGATATTATTCCTTCTAATATTGATTCAATACCAAATAATATAACAAATTTTAAATGAAAAAAATAAAATAAATAAACAAGATAAAAAATAAGTATATATATATATATATAAGTATATATATATATATATATATATATATATATATATATATATATATATATATATATATATATATATATATATATATATATATATATATATATATATATATATATATATATATATATATATATATAATTAGATAAATATATAGAGTAAAATACAAATAAAATTTTTTAATAAAAATGACAAAAATTAAGACTAAAATGTAAACGATAATATAGAATAATAAAAATTATTATATTATAATAGAAAACCACAATATACTCAACTACACTACCAATTAAGGAATGCAAATTTTGACGAAATAAAAAAATCGGAATTCGGAATTCGAAATTAAATTTTTTCGGAATTCGGTCGAATTCCGACAATATTAAAATTTTTTTTTTGTCTATAAAAAAATATAAAAAACAAAAACTTATTTGAAATAACTCATTGTTATTTATAGCATAGAAAATACTTTCTTTAAAAATAAAAATGGAACATAAAATTATACCAAATTCAATTACTACAGTAACATTCTAATATGGTACATCATTTTATAATAAAAGAATATTATTGTTTTGATAATATTTTTATAATTTTTTAAATAAAATCATTGTTTTATTTGCCTAAAATATGCCTTGAGGAAACAGAGATCACTTAAAGCTGCGTCTCCGAGGCTCGTTCGAACTTTTGTACAAAAGTTACCAGCAATTGAGATGGCTCACTCAGACTCCACGCTCGATGGTGGAATCAAAATCAAATATGAGTATGACTCATATTTGATTTTGATTCCAATCAAATATGACTCACAAACGCCGTTTTTTTCAAAGAATTTCATTTCAGATTTAACTTTTGAAATTAGGCTCCTATCTATTATATTTTGAGTTTGACGTTATGTTGGACGATAACTTCAATTGAATTTTGTTCTCCAATTTTTCCATCAATGTTAACGGATTAGCTTGTTCTTCCAACATCACTTCTATCACATCGTCAGCTTCTGACTGCTTACCTGAGGAAGTTTCCATGTTAGTGTTAAATATCAATCTTTGTGCAAAGTTTTCAATAACTGTGGCTATTGTTTTTTTTCTAAGGTCTAGTGAAAGATGCGTAAATCTCACTTTTTCCCTCATTGTGTAAATACTGAAGAGTTCCAGACACATTAGTTCGTCTTTGGCTTATTCGGTCTTCTAATTTCTTCTTTAATTTTAATGAAAGTTCATCAGGTCTGAAATTCTCAAACATAAAAGAAAATACCGCATCAGCAAAAAGCAGATTTGCATTTTCTCGACAAAGGGCTTCAACAGTAAGCTTCACTGGAAGATGCGCAGAGATAATGTTTTTAATCAACAAAATTTAATAGAACAACGATATCAGATGCAATGTCAATCAATGCTTTTCTAATGCAGCTTTTTAGCTAGTTAAACCTATCAAGCATTTCGGCTATTTCATATTCATTTCAAGCTATTCCAACTAGTTCTAGTTTATAATAAGTTTTAATTGTTTTTCAAATTCTTGTTTTACGTATACTTGAAGAATATCATTTGATGTTCTCGAAAAACGAAATTTCTTTACATCGAACGAAGATTTTTGATGAGAAAACTAAATCCAAAATCTTCAGTCTCAACAAGCTGTACTTCATTATAAGTTTATTCAATTAAGTCAACATTTTCATCTTCAATGTATTCCTCATCCGATTCACTTACTTGATCTTCTAAACTAACATTTTCTGTAAATGTGTGAGCCACCAATTCAGTTGTATTCGAATTATTATACAGAACATCAATTACAGCTAAATGTATCGCATGCGCAAAGCACAACTGTTGATTACATGGTAAAAACCGTCCAACTTTTTTCATCACAGCTGCCCCATCAGTTGTTATAGACGTAACATCTTTATCAATTTTTAGATTGTTGTCTTGCAATATGGTTTTCAGAGCCGTTATGCATTTTTCTGCAGGGAAACGTCCTTCAACAGGTACTAAACCTAAATTCAAAAACTGTTTCTTGCCATGGACATTCACATTTAAATAACATCAGTTTCTTGAATATGTCTACTCATCTAGAGTTAAGCAAAATCTTGCTCCATCTTCTTGTAAATTTATAAAATCCTGCACCATTTTAGCCCGCATTTTTTGTGCGTATTCTAAAATCATTTTGCGAATCGATTTACATAATCATAATACATAATCTCGAGCGTTTTTAGCCAAAAACAAACTTCTCAAATCGATAGACGTACAGAAAACTTTGAATGGTATATTATCTGAGGTACACATTCGTGATACGATTGCAGAAAGTGATTCATCGTATTTGTTGAATATGATGGTTTGTAATTATCATTTTTGATGCGCTGCTTTCTGGACCTTCATCTTGCACGACATCCCGTTTTAATACATTAATATTGTGTATTGTTCTTAAATGCGTGTGCTGCGGTGTTGTCGTTGAACCAGCGGTTTTTACTATTTCATAACATATTTTACATTTTGCTGATCCTCGTAAAAAATGAATCGAAACAGAATTTTGGTTTTTACATTGCTTTGTGTATTCTAAATAACTTTCTTTTGACATTTTAGGATGTACTAATGATAGCAATTTAACTTGTTTAAAAAAAAAAAAAATTAAATAGTTATCAAATAATGTTGTTAAATTAAAACTGCTATTATTCCTACTATTATTTGCTTACCTATTTAAAAAATATTGATCCAAATAATTCAATACACACCGCACTTCAATAACCAATTCTCAACACTGTTGAAAATCGTAAAATATAAGACAAGAACACGAAGTTATTCAAAATATAAAAATTATTACATATCGATATGAAATGAAGACACAAAACTGTTAACTGCAATAACGTAACAACGCAATAACGCAATAAGCAAATCTCAACAAATTATTACATGTTGATGTGAAATCAAGATATGAAACCGTTAACTGCAATTTAGGAAAGTTTTCTCTACGTCAACTTGTATTATGCAGGATAACTGCAATTTACAATAGTTTTCTATATTTCTTCTTATAAAATTAGAATGTAAAACATTTATATATACAGAAAAAAAAACACAATTTAAAAGTTGGAGAGAGAACAAAAAAATAAATTTTAATTTCAGAATTTTCGGAATTCGAAACTATCATTGTAAAAAC